GCTGGGGTACGAGGCCAGAGGTGCAGGGTGGGAGAGAGGGGGAGATGAGAGTATTCACCAGAGACAGAGTGGGGAACAGAACAGCAGACTGACTGAAACACACTGCTGAGGGGAGCAGCGGACAAGGTGGGAGAGGTCTGCTGCGCCCTGTGGGTTGCTTCCTGGCCAGGCGGGGATCAAACTCGTGCTGCAGAGGCTGCGGATTGCTTCATAGTGCTGTGTTTAACCCATTGTGCCACCAGGGAGGCTCTTAATAGGGCATGTTTTTTAATTATGGTCAGATATAGTATTCCATTGCTAATGAAATAATTGGTTTACCTAAAAACTTTACTATTTGTAAATGAGACAATATGCTTTTATAAGTTTTGTGATTTTTTAAAATTTCTTGTAGAGGCTCATCTAGTCTCTTCCAACTTTGGAAGGATGAAATGTTGTATTAACCTCCACAACCAGAAAAATGTGTACAAACCTGAAAGACTGTAGGATGAGAGATAACGCTGAATCACTTTAATTCTTACTCGCGCATGTTTTTTGTTTATTTGTTTTAAAGATAGATTTATTTATGCATACAAGAACTGGGGTACAGGCCAGAGCTGTAGGGGGTCTGAGGACTCACCAGAGACAGAGTGGGGAGCAGAACAGGCAGACTGAGTGAATTACACTGCTGAGGGGAGCAGCGGGTGAGACAGGAGAGGTCTGCTGCGCAATGTGTGTAGCAAGCTTCCTGACAGGCCGGGGATCTAACACCTGCGGCAGAGGCTGCAGATAGCTTCACAGTGCTGTGCTTAACCCTTTGCGCCACCAGGGAGGCCCTCTCCCATGTTTTTATAGATTGACAGTTTGTAGACAGGCACTGGAGCTTATTGAAGCTTTGAAAGTTGTATTTCACATTATAACTTTGAAATTGTCTTAATGCTTATAGCAATAACTATAATTTGATTATTATGTATAGTAAATAGATGGAAAAACTAAAAAATGAATTTTTAGTGTCCCTTGATAATTCTATTGTGAAAAATAATGATTTGTAAATTTCAGTTATTCATTGGATACTCTCATGACAATTACTAAGCTTTGAGAATACTAACCTAGCTTCATTTACAGCTCTGCTACAAATTGATATTGTGAAGTTCTAATATAGAGTAATCATTTATTGATAGCCACCAATAGCTAAGTGATAGAGAAATTTTAGCTCTAACAATTGGCTGGAGCTGCCAACAGAGACATTACTATAAATCTGATGAATGAAGTTACTGGGTTTTGTTGTTGTTTTTTTTTTTTCTGTAACAGTAGTCCACAAGATTGTTAATTATAACAAATATATTAGTTGTATATCCTCCTATTTTATTCTATTTATATTCTATTTTAAAATACATTCAGTGGAATTAAGGAGCAATTCTCAAGGAAATGGGTTTCCCTTTTTGTAAAAGCTTTTATTTTGACATAAATCTAATCTGAGCTTCCAGATGAATGAGGGTACATAAATATTTCTCACAAGTTTTCCATTTCTATGTAAATTAGCCATTTTTAGAAAATGTCTCTCAAACTCCATTAATAAAACTTACCAAAACAAAATCCTTATTAGTCATTTTGAACTGGGAAAATGGATGACAAGTGAAAGACCACATCGTACTTTATTGTCCACTGATTTCCACTCACTTCTATAGCTTTTCAAAGTCAAAATTTATTTTATTTTATTTTTTTTTTTAAATATTAAATTTTATTTTTATATTCCCCCATACAATTGCAAACGCCCCATTCTGAACCCAATCCTTCCCCTCCCGCCCCCCCCACCCCCCAAAAGTGTCTCTGGTTCATAGTTTTTTGTTGATTTGATTTTCATTTTCTTATATTCATTTTTCTGGTCCCTTATTTAAGTTTTCTAGATTCCTGCTATGAGTGAGACCATCCGGTATTTTTCTTTTTCTTTTTGGCTTATTTCGCTGAGCATGATCCCTTCCAGTGCCATCCATGTTGCTGCAAATTGCATGTGTTTATCTTTTTTGAATGCTGAGTAATATTCCATGGTATATATGTACCACATCTTCTTGATCCAGTCATCTATTTTTGGGCATTTGGGCTGTTTCCAAAGCTTAGCTATTGTAAACAGTGCTGCTATAAACATAGGAGTGCAGGTGCTCTTTGGAATTGATGTTTCTGAGTCCTTTGGGTAAATACCTAGGAGTGGAATTGCTGGATCATATGGAAGCTCTATGTTTAGTAGGTCCAGAAATCTCCACACAGCTCTCCATAGTGGTTGGACCAGTTTGCACTCCCACCAACAGTGCACAAGAGTTCCTTTTTCTCCACATCCTCGCCAACATTTGTTGTTGCTAGTTTTTTTAATATGTGCCATTCTCACTGGTGTAAGATGGTATCTCATGGTAGTTTTGATTTGCATTTCCCTGATTACAAGTGATGTTGAACATTTTTTCATATGTCTGTTGGCCATTTGCATTTCCTCTTCAGAGAAGTTTCTTTTTAGCTCTTCTGCCCATTTTTTGACTGGATTATTTTCTTTGTTGTTGCTGAGTCTCATCAGCTCTTTGCAGATTTTTGTGATCAGTCCTTTATCATTAGTGTTGGGTGCAAAAATGTTCTCCCAGTTGGTGGGGTTTCTCTTTGTTTTTGTTATTGTCTCTTTTGCTGTGCAGAAGCTCTTTAATTTGATGTAGTCCCAGCTGTTTATCTTTGTCTTCACTATCACTGCTTTGGGTGATGTGTCTGTAAAGATGTCTTTGATGTGCAAATCCCGTAGTGTTTCGCCTATATTTCCTTCTATGTATTTTATGGTTTCAGGTCTTATGTCTAGTTCTTTAATCCATTTTGAGTTGATTTTTGTGTATGGTGTGAGGTAGTGGTCAAGCTTCATTCTTTTGCATGTAGCGACCCAGTTTTCCCAGCACCATTTATTGAACAAACTTTCTTTGCTCCAATGCATAGTCTCAAAGTCAAAATTTAATTATATGACTTCTAATTATAATTAGGGTATATTTTTTTAAATGGAATTGTTGAAAAACAATATATTGATTGTATACTTTAACATACATGTGCTTTGTAATTTGGTATTTGGTGTCATAATACAGATAACTATAGTAATACGGTTTGTGATTTTTTTAATCTCCATAAAGGCAACTCCAAATTATGATTTTTCAAGGAGTGGGTAAAATGGACAAGGCTCTTTGGGTACAGCAAATACAGTAGAACTTACAGGTATACTTTTTTAGTTTTGAAATTTATATTCAATCAAATGAATCCATTTAAGAGAACAGATCAATAACTGCTGGCAAATGTAAACACTCATGTAACCTCCATTCCATTGATTTTTTTAAAGGGAATTTTACAGGTCTGGTTATTTGCCATGAGTGTACTTTTGATTGTATATTAGTTCTGTCTGATACCTATTTGAAATAGAGATAAAAAAAACGATAACTCCTAAAATTTTCTGAATTTTTAATGTAGTGGTAGGTTTATTCTATTTTATTTTATCAAAAAGCATATGTGGGTTAAGTTTAAATTAGCAAGCTCTAGGGAAGAATTCTGGAGGGTATTCCTCTCATTCAATGTTTGATTGTAAAGTAAGCTTGTGAAAGAAAAGAACACTCATCCTTGAATTGACTTTCTTATAGTGTGTTGACAGTTTAATATTTTTTATGATTTCACCTATGGAAATCATGAGATTTTTGTTGGCTTTAGATATAAATTTACTATTTCCTTAAACTTCTATGGGGATCCTTTGAAATTAGAACTATTATTGAATAGTATAGTTGGAGGCTAGACCTAAAGACCTGTAAATACTCTTGTCACCTACAAGTGGACATTATTCTTCTTTAAAATAGTTATTTATTTATTTTTAAAAGATTTATTTATTTTTATACAAGAACTGGGGTACAGGCCAGATGCGTGGGAGGGTAAGAGGATTCACCAGAGACAGAAAAGACAGACTGAAGAAATACACTGCTGAGGGGAGCAGCGGGCGAGACAGGAGAGGTCTGCTTTGCCATGTGGGATTCTCGCTGGCCGGCCGGGATTGAACCCGCACTGCAGAGGCTGCAGACAGCTTCACAGTGTGGCGCTCAACCACCTGCGCCACCAGGGAGGCCCTTCAGAATATTTAAAGCAACTATGATGATGGCATTTCATGCCCTAAATGAGCTCTGATCCCAACTTCTCCTTTCAAACCCTCTTCACATATGTCACTGGATATATTTTATATGACTCACTCAGGTGATTAACATTGGACCATCTTTAATGTCCTTCACATGTAAGTTAGAAATATGAAATATTTTACTGTGTATTTGGACATATAATGCTGCCAAAACATACTACAAAATCTACAGGGCCGGAACTCCCTGGGAACAGAACTGAATAATCTTTCTTGGCTTTCTTTCCAGAATTAGAGCCAAGTACTACTCTTTATGAAACTTCATAGCCAGAGTAACAGAAATCGTATTTGTTTCACTAATACTTTGAAAAACATGATGAACAAATATTTCACAAATTGAACTTTAAAAAATGGTTGTTTAGTCATTGAAACTATTGTTTATCAGCTGTTCCCATTATAAAAGCATTTGCATGACCTATTAAAGTTTGGAAAAAAACAGAAAATTTGAAGGAAGAAGAAATTAAACCTCCATAAGCCAACTATCTAGAGGCAATCACCATTAACTTTTAAAAATTATTTTTCTACACATAGGTTTGTGTATTTGTTTGTTTGCTTTTACATAGTTGTAGTTGTGCTCTATAATATGGGATACTGTTTTGAATAGCATTTTCAATTTATTTTACACTCTTTGTAAATATTTTCATGGCCATGAAATGTATTTCATTAAATCTGTGAAATCATTGGTTGTAAGGTAATATACTTTCATGTACCAGTAAGAAAGAAAAAAATCTGTTAGTGTAAGGTTCCAACAATTATAAGACATCTAAATTATTAAGTGATGTTTAAGATGTGGAAAGAAAAGTTGTGAAGATAACAAGATAATTCTTTATTTTCTTAGGATTAATTACCAGAAGTGGAATTACTACTCAATCACAGGTTGGTGAACATTTAATGATTCTGGATCCAGATTTCAAAATTTCTGTACCAGTTATATTCCTACAAATGAATAAAGAAGTAACCTTTTGCATCTTACCATTGACAAAATAGAAATTTGTAAAAACAGTAACAAGAATATTAATTATATGATGCCCAAAATAGCCTTGCACTTTGAGGATGCATTTTTTTTTTTTTTACCATGTGTTTAACTGTATTTCCTCCTTTGTGGTTTCCCACTAGCTATATAAATTATTTTTTAATGGTTTTCCTATTCATCTTGAACTTTTATAATGATATTAGCCTTCTGTTTCATATTCATATAACAATTTCCTTATTTTCCTTTGCCTATAATCTTGTATTTAATTTTTTCAAAAAGATTTATCAGATTTACAGCATATTTATAAGACTATTTTTCTTTGAGATTTATTTCATCACTTCCATAATTTCTAAAATTGGAGAAATTGTTTATAACCAGAAATGTTAAAGTCACTTTATATTAACACCTATATTTGGACTCTGTTATTCCATTGATCTGTTTTTCATTTTTCTTTTTTAATATTCAAAAAGGCAGGTTTATTATAAAAAGGGAAGAGCAGTAAAGTATGCTGGCATAGACACAAGCTAGCAGAAGCAGCTGCCCCTGAAAGGGACAGGTTTGTTAAAAGAGACCTGCATAGTCACAGTCTTGGGAGGAGAACTGCCTCTGTTGCTTGCACAGGCATAGTCACAGGCAGGCAGAAGAGCTGCTGCCTCCATTGATCTGTTTTTCTTGTGCTGCTGTTTTGCACGTAGTGGATGTAAGTCAGAGGTGTGGGGAGGGGTGGGTGAGAGGATTCACCAGAGACAGTGGGGAGCAGGACATGTGTATTTAACTGAAATATACTGCTAAGGGAAGCAGCCACCGGACATGACAGGAAAGGTCTGCCACGCCACATGTGGGTTTGCTCCCTGGCCTAGGATCAAACTCAGGCCGCAGCAGTGGTAGCACGGAGGTAACCAGGGAGGCACCTTTATAACACTTGTAGTATTCCCTCCTAAGTAATATTCCTTTAAAAAATTTATCCTCTTTTTTTTTTTTTAAGATTTATGCATACAAGAACTGGATTACAAGCCAGAGGTATGGGGGGTGAGGGGATTTACCAGAGACAGAGTGGGGGACAGAACAGGAAGACTGACCAGAATACACTGCTGAGGGGAGCAGCGGGCAAGACAGGAGAGGTCTGCTGTGCCATGTGGGTAGCTCCCTGGCAGGCCCGGGATCAAACTAGCGCTGCAGAGCTGCAGATAGCTTCACAGTGCTGTGCTTAACCCCTTACACCACCAGGGAGGCTCCAATTAATTCTTTTTTATGCTAAATGAAATAAGAAGGAAAGATAAGTACTGGATGTTTTCACCTAAATGTGGAATATAAAGAAACCAAACGAAATGTCAAAAAAGAAGACAAAACTTGCAGACTGACTATAGATCAGAGGCAGACAGCAGAGGAGTGGGAGGAAAAGGAGTCAAAACAGGGAAGGGAAGAGCGCAAGGAACTAGTGATGGTTCACTGGTGATGGTGGTGGGAGAACTACGGAGACTACACCTGAGGGGATAAATCATATACTATACAAAAATGAACGACAATGTAAGAAAATAAATAAATAAATTTAGAAAAAAAATTATCCTTTCTTTCTTGGCATTCTTGCTTAATTTAGTTCACAAACACTTTTTTGAATTTGTGATTGGAATTGTATCAAACCATGGACTATAGAAATAATGTACATGTTAGTAGTAGTCAGTCTTTCTATTAAAAAAGATTGATTTTATATTGATGTCTTTTTCTGTTAGTTATATAGGTTTTCTCCTGAAATCTGTTTACTGTTTCAGTGAAGATGTTATGTGCTTATTTTTTTAAAGATTTATTTATTTATGAATACAAGAACTAGGGTACAGGCAGAGGTGTGGGGGGTGAGAGGATTCACTGGAGACAGAGTGGCTGATTGACTGAAATACACTGATGAGGGGAGCAGCAGGTGAGACAGGAGAGGTCTGCTGTGCCATGTGGGTAGCTCCCTGGCCGGCCAGGGATCAAACTCGTGCTGCAGTGGCTGCGGATAGCTTCACAGTGTTGTGCTTAGCCCCTTAATTTTTGGGAGACGCGGTAATTTTTGTTTTATCTCAATAATTATCTTACCCAATTTCTTAGTAACAAATACTCTGATTTGATATTATTCTGTATGTATAGCCTTTTATTTATTGACAGGAATTATGCTAGAATCTACATTGAACATATTTAACCTGAAAAGAATTTAGATCACTTCTCTATTTCCATTTCTCCTATTTCCATTTCTCTCAGTAAATAGTCTAAATTTTTAAATTTTTCCTTAAATTCTCTACCATATTTCTCTGTTCCTCTATTTCTAGGAATGACTTCTCGTTATATAAAATCAAGGTCAAAAAGTAAAAATAGATATGTAATATAGTCTTTATTTTACCCAACATATAAAAGAATTTCATTTATAAAGGTAATTAACATATTTACTATGTATTACATATATGTAGTTTATATGTTCTGTGCACAATAACAGATGTACATATCTATACCACATGTGTGTAGTATTTATGTTTATGTATGTAATATCTAACAATTATGTTGAATTCTGTATTCATGTTTTAATATTACTTGTTATATAATAATCTCTTTATTTCTAACGTTTTTGTGACATTTTGTTTTAGTTATGTCCCTTTTAAAGTTTGTAGTTCAATTATATCTGTGTGCATGCTTGCATGTATGTGTGTGCATGTTGCCCAGTTTGAATTCTGGTTTTTAGTAGTAGTATTTGATACATTAGTATGCATTCATTACTAATGTTTGTTTTCATTTTTCTGTATTGTTTTATATTCTATACTGTTTATTTTTTTCCTTTTCTTTTCCATTCCTGATTGTTGCTGATTCTGTCAAATTATTTTTGTTCTTTTTTTTTTCACCATCTGGTGTTTGAAAGTCCTACTTCTGTTATTATAGTGCTTAAGATTTAATTTATAATAAATACAAGATACAGAATTGCCTTAATTTATGGATGATATAATTTTAGAAAGCCCCAGAACTTAAACTAATTTGACAAGGTGGTTAAATATAGGAAAATATATTCAAATTTTATTGTGATTTAATAAGCACCTCTATCTTTTTCCTTAAAAGAAGAGTCTATAAAAGAAATTTAGTTGTGCTTTCCAGATTATTGTTAGTAGTTTTTGTTATATTTTGCCTCTCAAAATATTAATACTTTAGGAACACTTTTGAACAAATTTATTAAGCTTCACAGACACATTTCAGCATTCATTTGGACTTACCGAAAAATTTTATTTATTTATTTTTTGCTCAACTCCATATCTTTCTTTTTTTTTAACTAAGTAGTTTACAGTACCACTGTGCATTTATTTATTTATTTATTTTAAATAATAAATTTTATTTTTATATTCCCCATACAATTGCAACCCCCCATTCTGACCCCAATCCCTCCCCTCCCGCCCCCCACCCCCCAAAAAGTGTCTCTGGTTCATAGTTTTTTGTTGATTTTGATTTTCACTTTCTTACAATTATTCATTTTCCTGGTCCCTTATTTAAGTTTTCTAGATTCCTGCTATGAGTGAGACCATCCGATATTTTTCTTTTTCTTTCTGGCTTATTTCGCTGAGCATGATCCCTTCCAGCGCCATCCATGTTGCTGCAAATTGCATGAGTTTAGCTTTTTTGAATGCTGAGTAATATCCCATGGTATATATGTACCACATCTTCTTGATCCAGTCATCTATTTTTGGGCATTTGGGCTGTTTCCAAAGCTTAGCTATTGTAAACAGTGCTGCTATAAACATAGGGGTGCAGGTGTTCTTTGGAATTGATGTTTCTGTGTCCTTTGGGTAAATACCTAGGAGTGAAATTGCTGGATCATATGGAAGCTCTATGTTTAGTAGGTCCAGAAATCTCCACACAGCTCTCCATAGTGGTTGGACCAGTTTGCACTCCCACCAAAAGTACAGAAGAGTTCCTTTTTCTCCACACCCTCGCCAACATTTGTTGTTGCTAGTTTTTTTAATATGTGCCATTCTCACTGGTGTAAGATGGTATCTCATGGTAGTTTTGATTTGCATTTCCCTGATGACAAGTGATGTTGAACATTTTTTCATATGTCTGTTGGCCATTTGCATTTCCTCTTCAGAGAAGTTTCTTTTTAGCTCTTCTGCCCATTTTTTGACTGGATTATTTTCTTTGTTGTTGTTGAGTCTCATCAGCTCTTTGCAGATTTTTGTGATCAGTCCTTTATCATTAGTGTTGGGTGCAAAAATGTTCTCCCAGTCGGTGGGGTTTCTCTTTGTTTTTGTTATTGTCTCTTTTGCTGTGCAGAAGCTCTTTAATTTGATGTAGTCCCGGCTGTTTATCTTTGCCTTCACTATCACTGCTTTGGGTGATGTGTCTGTAAAGAAGTCTTTGATGTGCATATCATGTAGTGTTTCGCCTATATTTCCTTCTATGTATTTTATGGTTTCAGGTCTTATGTCTAGTTCTTTAATCCATTTTGAGTTGATTTTTGTGTATGGTGTGAGGTAGTGGTGAAGCTTCATTCTTTTGCATGTAGCGACCCAGTTTTCCCAGCACCATTTATTGAACAAACTTTCTTTGCTCCAATGCATAGTCTTTGCTCCTTTGTCAAAGATTAGTTGACCATAAATCTGTGGGTTTATTTCTGGATTTTCTATTCGATTCCATTGGTCTGTGTGTCTGTTCTTGTTCCAATACCATGCAGTTTTGATGATTATGGCTTTGTAGTATAGTTTGAAGTCTGGAAGTGTGATGCCTCCATTCCCTTCTTTTTTTTTTTCAGGAGAGCTTTGGTTTTTTGTGATTCCATATGAATTTCATCAATAATTGTTCTATTTTTTTTGAAGAATGACATTGAAATTTTGATTGGAATAGCATTGAATCTGTATATTGCTTTTGGTAGGATGGCCATTTTAATAATGTT